GATGCATCAAGAGCATTGGACAAATAAATCACCTGTTGGCTGTCATATCCATGCATACCCGACCCCGACCCGACTTCCGGACCTCCACCCTCTTCACCTCCGGAGTCATAACCTACCGTTGCCGTTCCGATACTCACCTTCGGTCTTGGCAAACACACCTCCCCCTTACCTCTCCGACCCTATCTCCGTCCGCTCCGATACTCACCTTCGGACCGAACATCGCCCCACTCGCCACCCCTCCTACTACTCCGCTCCCCCTTCACAACACCTCCACCCTCCCGTTATCCTCCTACGCTTCCCCCGTCCGCTCCGATACTCGCCTTCGGACCTGACTACTCTCCTTTCCGCCACTCCTTCTCCCCTTACCTGTCCCCTCTCTCCTCCCTCCGTTACTCCTCCGCCACCCTTCCGCCAAGTTACGACCTTCCACCGCTGTTCCGTACTTCGCACTCGGACACCGCTCGTACCTTACTCCGAGCCTCCGTCATAGTCCCTACCTCGGACTTTGACTCCACCTCGGCCTTAGTCCATTGCATTGGTGACCTCATACTACATAAACACCATTGCCAATATTCCTCGGACTTCCAACCCTGCCTCCGTAACCTCCGTAAGCTCCGCAACCCCCGAGCTTCGCGGACCGCCTTTGGCACTCTCGCCGCCTGTAATGTATTTCTCGCGTTTTCCCTTCATCCCTATTTGGACTACTGCTTCTTTCTATTCTAGCCAGTTAGTCATCATCCCCACTTCCCCTCATCCTCCTGCCCCTCTGGGCCTCGCCCTCCCTACCTCCTTTCGGACGTATCACAGGTCTTGCCCTATGACCTTCGGTACCGCTCCGCTCCCTCTACCCTTTGTTCCCGTTCGGACATCTTCGTTCTGATTCGGTCACCCTTTGTTCTCTTTGTGCTTTTGCCCCTTCCATTATATATATCGGCGCTTGTACATACTCATCTTGGTTTCAGTCCGAAATCGACCTGAAATGCCCCCAAGAGACTTCCTGCTCACCTACTGTGAAATTAAGGACCAAATGGACAAACAGCAATGGCACAGCGCTCCGCTTGAGTCGCTGAGGCCAAGGTCCCTCCATGCTAAGTCTCCGATTCCACTCCGGAGTCGTCCGTTTCCGCCCCATTCTAACATTGGCTATGAAGACGATCTGTTGTCCATGGGGCATGCTTGGGCTGACGTGCCCTAGCACTCAAGAGGGAGTTCATTCTCGAAGAACCCCCAGTGACTCCCGCAGGGGTTTGAATAGAGCAATGTCGAGCCCAGGACGCAGTCATCAGGCAGTATCAAAAAGATGATGTGATAAAGCGTCTGCGACGGTATTTTTGTCACCCGGTATGTGGACTACTCGCACATCCACCCCAAAGTCCATCATAATCTCAACTGCCTTGAAAAGCAACAACACAAAGTTTGGTTGCACCGCCAGAGAGTGAAAGATATCAACGGTATTCATTGAATCAGTTCATAAAAGGATTCGTTGCGGTTTATCAGGAAGGTGAGCAGCCCACTCAATCGCTGAGACTACTGCTAACACTTCATTGAAAAACGTGTCCCCATATTGGAGATCTGACTCCCCGATCAATGCAACAAACGCCAGGTCTACTGTTGGGGACCAAAAGCCAGACCAACATTCAAGGTGTCGGACAGGAAGACTAGATCCGCATCTTGTTCTTGCCAAGAATGGGCATCCAAGAAGTTGACTCCCAGTGAATTCACGATCCACTGGATAAACCAGGTCAAGTCTTGCACAACTGACTTGTTCAGTTGAATAGGTGCCAAGGCAAGTTTTTTACCCCATATCTTAGCATACGATGACTGAAGTGTGGGTCTAAGGAGAGGGTAAGCATTCAAGGCCCAGTTGCAATACCCCAAAAGCCACTGCCATTCTTGGAGTGGATGACGTCGAAGTTTTCCAACTAAAAACGACTTTACATCTTCGATTAAAGATCTTTGTTTATCGTCGGGCATCGTAATCGTCATCAACTTGAGAGAAACCTGGAGACCAATTATGGTAAGCTGTTTCCCAAATTCTTGCTTCTTCTTCCCATGCAGAATTCTGAGCTCATCAAACAGTCTGAGCAATGTGACCTGCTTCCTTGGGTACCGTGTTTCATATGGAACATAGAGCTTGAGATCTTCCTGGACATCAAAAGAAAAAACATCATCAACGTAATGAAGAAGATCAGGAATACTTTTCTCATAAATGGCAATCCAAAGAACAAGCATGTAGAAGGTACACCAGATTGCACCTGAAGCCTGGTTCCCAAAAACGCAACACTGATCAACGTGATATTCCCCATCAATCAACGTCACTTGTCTTGCCTGCCATCTCGGGTGGCAAGGTAATAGTCGATAAGCCGAACTTGCATCAGACTTGAACAACCACACTGGCGAATGACCAAAACTTGCATGAAAGGCAAGTAACTGTTTACCCAAATCTTGGAGATTGTCAGGTCTAAAAGACCCGTCTTCAGGGGCAATCGCCACATTCAAAGAGAAACTCCCTGCGGTGTGATTGTTAATGAGTTGAAACTTCGCTGAACCCGGCTTGGGCACTGCAAAACAAGGTTGCGTGATCATTCCTGGTAGCAAAGAAGAGCCGAATGATGGCAAGTAACATCCTAATGACATCTCGAGGTCCCGTTGCATCTTCATAAATGACTTCTTCACCTCATCCTTTTCCTCCACTAGACGCTGATTGTCATGCCCTCTCTTCATTGAAATCAGGAGTTCCGGCTGCGCACATGGCCAAAAACCTGATCAAAAGCCTGAAACCACTGACTCCACAAGCTTGCAGTTCGGGTGATGCTGCAACAACTCATCAAGCCTATCCGGTTTTATAGGTGTCACAATCTTGAAGAGTTCCGGGTTTTCCTCAATCGTTTCGGATACCAAAATGTGAACAAAATCATCAACAGGAACAGATGGAAGAGGTTCTCGAAAGAGAGTGGACATTATGGATGGAGTGATTGGATCCTCCTTTCCCCAAATAAAACCCCTGAGATAATGCGGGTTTCTTATTGTCCCCTTCCACTCTTCAATTCTTTTCTGTCTTTTTGACGTCTTTTGTAGGGCAAGCCGACCTTCGGTGTTCTCCCTCACACTTGTCGCATACATGTCGGTATTGGCAATTGAAGTGGGAGATTCCCGCATTAAAATGTCTACAAACTTCCCTGTCGACTTTACCTTGCTTCCAAGAGGCTCCCTTTCCTCCCTTTCCTCCACTTCCACCTCCGTAGAAGAAAGGGTGGCACAACTCAACATCGTCGAGAGTAAGCCTTGCATCCTCGGCGAGTCTCTTTTGGAACATGATGTCGAAGTCGATAACTGATTGTTCTTTGAAGGGACCCCCGCTCTTGAAAAAATCACAGATATATTCTTTGTAGGTTCGTAATTCACCTTTCCTGTGCGAGTAGATGTAAAGGACTGCGTCAGCGTAGGCATCAAACGCCATGATCCATGCCCCTTGGCTGCAGATCACCTTCTTAGATCCAGCTTGGTCGTAGATGAACTTGAAGGGTCCAGATTCATGGACGACTTCTTCCTCTGGGGCTCTATCAACTTGGATTGCATGGACTTTGTTGAAATCAACGTATTTGTTGAGCAGAACCGCTTCCCAGAGGGACTCTGGGAATCTGGGTTTGTGAAGTTGCCCTTTGAGTCTTTGTAAGGCCTTTTTCTTATGTTCCAGGAAATATTCCCGAATCTTATTGGTTCATGTCGCCAGGGGAAGGTTCCGGTAATTCCTGTGATGATCCGACCTTTTGGTGCCAGCGAAGGTAACATTGGCATCATCAGAGGAATTGGAAGAGCTCCCAGACGAACTCCCTCCTGGTTCGTCCTCGTCAGATAGGTCAGATCTGGTATCCTGGAAGAAAGATCGACACTTCTTTCTCTTTCTATCATCCTGACCTCGGGATATTTCAAGTTTGCATTTCTTTGGTCTTTCCGTGGGGTCTCATCCTTTTCCTTTTCCATCATCTTCAATCCTTGCTCCTCCTTTTCCTCTCTCGAGTTGTTCGACGAATGAGAAGATGACTTCTCTTTTGTCATGAAGATCGAACTGTTCAATGAGCTCGAGAACTTCATGTCTCACATTTCGAAAATCTTTGGTAGAAGATGCCTCTTTCAGTATTTTCTCAAGACCATCTTTGGGTTCTTTATCAAAGATAGACATAGCTCCTTCACGATCCTTCTCTTTATCAGCACTCAGTCCAGCTGCTGAGTTGCTCTTCATTGTAGATACGTCCATTACACCAGGAATTCCTAGTATCTCCATTTCAGAAGTCTCCCTGGACATGAATCTCTTCCCAGTTGAATTCAGATGTGAGAAACCTTGGTTTCGAAAGATGTTTTGCAAACGACAAGGACAACGAGCAATAAGGAAAGAAAGACAGAAGTTACAGAGGGCAAGGAAACAACCGAAAAGAGGAAACCTAGAAAAACCTAAGTAAGCAATCGGGATCCCACCCACTGAGAGTAACCAAAGGTCACAACACCTCCCCCTCAGCAAGACCAGAAAACCTACAAAACCCCTCTGAGATGAGCGCAAAAGGAAATATACACGTGATCATGGCCGAACAAAAAAAATGATGGGAATTGATTTAGAAACCAGCCAACGACCAGTGCCTACATGTGACATTATTATGTAATAAATATTCATTGCGTGCGGTCTCATCGACCCCTCCCTGTTATTCCCCAACCCAACCCAGTTACCAAACTAAAATTATTAATTACCATTACAGCGCTTGTGTATTGTAGAATGTGGCCGGAATAGGGTTTGTTTAGTGCAGTTAGTGTAGCATTGCTTATCGGTGTTATATATACATTGAAGTCATCCTCATGCAATAACTGTGGCAAAAAAAAAATCCACCAAGAATGAATCAAACCTGCACAAGCAGGGGAGGGGGGAGACAGGCTCATAAACAGCACTATAATTCGCTAGACCAAGTAGACCTCACATGGATCCCAATGTACATTTTTCATGACATTGATCACCCCTTGGAATTGAAGTTTTTCATCTTAAAAGTTTTCTAAGGGAGAAAAAAAAAAGAAACACCATACAGGACTCAAACCAAGACCCATCCAGACACAGGATTGAAGAGAACCCGGCACCAGCCACTAAGCCAAACCACCATCACTAGGGACCTTGACCAAACCATATATATGTATAGTTAAACTGGCCTCACAATTCCCTCACCCCCCTTCATCCACTATTTTTTTCTTACTGCATGCAACTTTCTGTTCCCTTCCGTTAAATGCCCCACAGTCATGAAGGCGCCCGGGCCCCTGCCCGTGCATCTTCACGCTTGCATCCTATTCATTTCCTTCATTGTAATTGGCGGATTCAGAAAAAATATCATCATTTTCATATTTGTGTAAATTCATCAAACACGTGATTTTTTGCGCTCATCTCAGAGGCGTTTTGTAGGTTCACTGGCAAGACCGAAAGGCTTACCGGATGCAAGGAAGACGAAGGAAAGACTTCATCAAAAAACAGCATACAGGACAAAAGAAAAGACTAAGAAAGAACACACCTTCAGCAGAGGATAAGGTATAAGAGGGCCAGAGCCCTGTAGCATAGGCGGACGAAACTCACAGATGAGATTGTCCGGAAGAATCGACCCAGGAATGCAGCAGCAAAAACCTGAATCGGCATGACTGTAACCTCGGAAGGCACAGTATGCGTAAGGCCGACAGCCGGTACGGCGCATAAGATTAAGCACCACCAGGAAAAATGCCACGCACGAAAAGAGACCAATGAGTGCAATGAGACTGAGTGCGCACAAGTCTAATTTAATCTCGTACCTCCATTAAATAACAACCCATCTGTATTAAGTAATCCTAATATAAATCCCAGTAACAGAAAGATACACCTCGAACTTGGACGGAGTTTGGGTGTGGTAGACTGTTGCGCGCACAGTGAGGCAGATCACGAAGGATGGTATGTAGCACTCGGCAACGCGGATGGCAATCTGGATAAAGTAGCCAGAGACTGGTGAATCCCAATACTTGTTCCTTGGTCATGTCAGGGCTACAGATTTCAAATAAGCCGGCCACAATATGAGAAGGCAATAGGCAGGACTCCAGCCTCTATGACAATATTATATAGAGTGAGGCAACGAAGTGTCCATCAACTTGTTGTCATCCAGCAGCCAGAATCCAAAATTAGCTAGGTTGAGTGGAATGAGTAGTTCAACCGAAAATCACGGCATTCACATACTCTAATCCCTTGTCGAGGTGAATGGGCGAAGAAATGGTTGTTCGCATTCCAACTGGATATACTTCCAATTGTTAGGGGCCTTCCCTCTGATATAAAAGTACTGAGAGTCAGAATGGGGGCTGGACACAGTGGTGAGCAATCGGCGAATGACACCTCGAGGGCCAGGATAGTGATGGTAGAGCTGCAGTATCAACAACAACTGGTTGTTCACTTCATTATGATATGATTTTCATTCTCTTGCGGGAATTGTCCATGCGGGCGCTCGGCAACGCCCGCTGGTTGCACTCGATTTGGACAACCTCCAACTGCGCGTCGATTGCCAGCAGCCGAGTCCACCGTTCCTCAAAGTTATATATGCGTACCATTGTCACCTGCCCCTTTGCCTCCTGTCTCTTCTCGCTAAGTTATCATGTTGTTCAAACACCAACCTCCAACTTCCCAAATTCGTCGTGTATGAGTCACTGAGAGACTTGTAAGCAGATGAAATCAGCTCAAAACAATCACTGTGACCAATAGCCCGGTTTCCCGCCGCTCTTTTCATCCCCGATAGTAGAGAGGTTGCCCGTAAATTGGTCCAACTCGATGACGAAGACGATAGCTGTAGTAGCGGCATACGGATGTCTCACGCTGGTCGTCGTCTACTTGAAGCCCAAGCTACTTCTTGCCTTTTGGTTCTGGCTCTGGACAGGCTGGTGGCTGTCGGCGATGCATCAGATTGAGGCGAAGGGGCTCGAATTGGATGCAACACCTGCTACGGCGAGGGCCACCAGGGACGAAACTGAAAGCAGCTCCACTCGAAGAAGCGCCGCGTGTCACCGAGGCTCTTCAACGGAGTGGGGCAAGCCATTTTTTCACGCTGACTCCGCTTCATCTTCTGCGGAGCCGGAGCCGATTGCGCCATCACATTCGTCAGAATCGTCACCCCCTATCTCATTGCTGCCTCCTTTACCCAAGATTCGTTCTGCCCATTTAGGCAATTTAGTTTTTACACCCCGCCAGGCTGAACACGAGGATGGTCTACGAGACAATCAGCGTCTAGAATGGCTCGGCGATGCTGCCATTCAATTCAGCGTCACGCTGCTCTTGGAGGAGTTAGCCCCTCAATTGAAAACTGGCGAGGCATGTACCATTCGCGCTGAGCTGGTTTCGAATAAGTATCTGGGCATGTTGTCGGTAAGGTATGGGTTGTTTGTAACCTACAATGAAGTTTGTGGGCAGGATATATCTCAGGATCTAAACAAAAAAATACACGGTAAGCGCACCATGTGTATACCGCTCCCCGACATTATTTCTTCATCGCCTTATCTGGTAACTTTTACAGCCGACTTATTTGAGGCGTATATTGGGGCCCTGACCAAAGAGCGAGGGTTCGACTTTGTCCACCAGCACCTCTCAGTCGTTCTCAAACCACCTCGGCTGATGGCTTTAACTGAATCACATCGACATGGCGAAGCCGAAAGCTCGTCAGCACCAGTGACAGTGCCAAATCCCCTACCAACTCCTCCACCGTCACCTGCACTCGTGCCCTCACGTTTGCGTGAGCTTGTGCCTCGGGTTACTGATGCGGCTCCATGGGCAATGACGCCAGTTGCTGCGCAAACGCCACCATCACCACCATCACCGCCTCCGCTTGGAAACCCGCTCCGTGCAGATCAGATTCCACCATCAGCGTGGCTTTACCACCTGAAGCAGGATGCTGAAAGAAAACAGTTCTGGAGGGCCCAAGCTCAGGTGAACGGGAGGGTGCTCACTTCCGGACAAGGCACTTCGAAGATAAAGGCTAAAACGGCGGCGTTGGAAGCTTATACGCGCGTCGCAGGGTGCGTCAACTAGGACCTCTCAAGCAGCTCAAAAGTCCGGTGAGGTTGCTGAGATTCCACGGGTGCAGTACCCGGGTTCTTCGTTATGTCCCTCTGCTGCAGCAGCCACAGCTCGGAAAGCCCCACTTCCGCAGACACGCTGTTGTGATTCGGTGATGAGTGTGGCATGTTGTGAAAACAGTATGCAGGGGGGGGGGGACAAAGCATCGATTGGATTCTCTTAGCTGCCACTTGTGATCGGGGCTGACATGTGTACATTATATAACGTGTGACAAACTGCAATGAAAGTGTATCGTCCTAAGTAAGATGGGAGAAAAGCGGGTGAGGCTACTGAGTATGTTGGCGAAACGACCGACTGAGTCATATTCGTGGAAGAGGTGTAGCTTGGTGATCGGGCATGAAAGCTGTTGGACAGACTGACAGGACCGAGGTCTCACAGAACCCAAAACTAGAAATGACTTACTATCAAATTGCAAGATACATGTCCATGTTGCATGACCCGCTCCGTACAGTTTAGCAGGAATTCAGGCAGACAAATCACGCGCACAAGGTCGACGACTTTCATTATTGGATAACAGATGCGACAGTGTCTGTGGACATGGTGCATTATATTTGATAAATACCGCCACAGGCTATCGACGGTTGAGAATACACGTCCCGTAGTGCCGGTGCGATAGAGGTTAAACTAACTAGGCAACCCAGATGGAGATCATAAATATCAGAGCCTGGACCTTTCCTGTAAAAGGCTTCCCGCAGCCCTCAACTTTTCAACAGCCTCAGCGACCATCTCATCTACTATCTGTTTCGCGGGCTTGATGTCCTTGATCACGGCAGAGACTTCGCCCAGGAGGAATGACCTCCCCTCGCTCATCACCTTGGGGTTCTTCGCCAAATCAACCTCAAAGGGCACTTCCCCTTGTGAGGTGAGCTCTTTGATCTCCTCCTGCCGGTTCTTTTCCCTGAGAACAGGGACATTGGTTAGCGCGATGTGCAAAAGCACTAGGCAAGAGGGGGCGCACCAGTTTTCAACGTAGGGAGTTCTTCGGACTCGAAGGGGACGGCCAGTAAATATCAGCGTCCGAACAGCATCTCCGTACCCAGCTGATAGGATACTATACCGTGAGATTTAGTTAAACAAACATCGAATTGAGGCGGGGGAAATAGTGACTTACGCCTCCTTGTGGGCTTTGGGTGCGCCAGCTTCCACACTGGCGACGAAACGTGTCCCCACCCAGACAGCTTGTGCACCATATGCCAAAGCGGCAGCTAAACCACGCCCGTCTGAAATCCCACCAGCTGCAATGAGGGGCACCTGGAATGAGGTATTCAGTGCCCAGGGCTGGGGTAAGATCACCATAGGGAACGAACCTGTTTGCCCGTCAACGGACTCTTTTTCCCCTTCAACTCATCCAAACATGCTGGGATTAGTATGCCAAATGGAATATCACCCGTATGGCCACCACCTTCTCCGGCCTGCGCACATATGATGTCCACGCCGCGAGCGAGGGCTTTCTGGATATGCTTCGGATGCCCAATCATATTCATGACGGGGATACCAGCTTTGTGGAGTCTTTCAACTACCTCAACTGGTGGGACACCTATGTGACGCACATGAGCAATTTTGACACTCGGAATCTAGGGTAGTCAAGCAACATACCAACGGCGCAAACAAAAAGCTTAGCTCCTTCTTCTATGATGACATCAATAAGCTCAGATAATGACCCCTTCGTGTAGTCGTAATTGGTCTTCCGAGCACCTTCCCCAACTTGAGGAATGAGTAGGTCTACTCCGAAAGGTGCATTGGGGTCTTTCAAGTCCTTCTTGATAAGCTCGATTTGCTGCCGGAGAAATTTGGGCGTGTACCCTACGCCTCCAATGACGCCGAGGCCACCAGCACTAATGATTGAAGGAAAATTAAAATGAGCGCGGGGAGAGCAAAAGTTTGAATGGAAGAGCTGACTTTGTCACTGCAGCTGCCAGTTCAGGCCCCTGTAAAGCGGCGGGAACGGGTTAAGAAGGCTCATCCTGATGTAAACGCAAGTCCTAATCTCTTACAGCAGCCACCTGGCACCTCGCAAGTCACTGGCAGTTCAACGTGGCAGTGAACTAGCTACTTACATTCATTCCAGCTAACAGAATAGGGTGCTGGATACCGAAGAGTTTGGTGATTTCAGTCGAGATGGGTGCCATTTTGCACAGCTTCAAGTGAGGTGAGCGGAGTTCGGAAGGGAATGCGATTGAGACGTTCAACATCCAATGAAAACAGCAGTAAGCATCTGGTTCGATTGTGACGACAGTTACAGCTTACCTTTCCGTTGTAAATGAGAGGTTCGAGGTGAAGTTCGTCAAGAACTCAGGGAGATTTATTATAGGTGGAGGGTCCGGTAAAAGTAGAGGCCGAGCCCGGAGTTCGAAAACGTCGCGACGGATCTTTCCGGCTCATTTTGTGCCTCGGCTCGTCATTTTCCTGTTTGCGTTCGTGCCTCAAACGCCTTCTTTCCCACCTGTATCTTGAATAATGTGCACAACCTTGTCTGCTCAGCAAGGGCGGTTTCATTATCAATTTTAACCTCGAAAATCTGTGGGTGAGAATGAGGACAGACAGCAGGTGCACTTGAAATTGTGCATGTGCCAGTGTATAAACTTCAGGCTGGGGACCTGCCAGCGGTCGTAGTAAATGCTCGAAAGGCAACATGACACCAGTTGGTTTGATGGGATATAGGAAGCACAAAGTGCAATGCCCATTCTTTAGATCGGATAAAGAAATACCATAGTGTAGTGGAATGGAGAGCGTTGGGAAGGCTGACAGCTTAATAAAGGTGCGCGAGGTCGAAAGGACCTTGGGAGAAAGCGGCATTACCAATTTGAGGGAAAGATCGACGATTTGGCGGAAAGTTCCGCCCCACTTGGAATATGTAGACGAATAAATTCGGCCAACTCCGCTACACTTATGTTCAACATCAGGTCATGTGTCAGGTGCCACGCATGGCACATGCAAGCCATGGGCACGGCTACTCTCCCTTAGCCGGGGACGTCTTGCAATGCGGAGTCCGGCTGCACCGTCAGCACTCCTTGACAAAGTACAAGGCACCAGTTGCTGCCATGCCAGCGGTTGAAGTTTTTCTCTTATTTCTTCTCACATCCCAGCCAAAGACAATGCCCGTCCGCCATTTCTCATCTGCCGAAGAACTTCTAACAGCCGGAGGACGCGTGCCCTATAATCGAATCAGACCGCCAGTTGGGGGGTTTCGCTGCGTCTGAGCCCAACCTCTTCCTTACGCCGCCGATCGAGTGGACTTACACGCTTGATCTCTGAGTGTTGCGAGACGAAACTTCCGCAGGACAGCCGTCGTATAGCCTAGATATGTGTATGCTGCCGCCGCTTAGGGGAAGGCTCGCGACCCTTGTTTCCGTCCGTTTGCATGAACAAAAAACTTGGCACCTGTTCCCCTCATTAGGGCACGCGTCGCATTGTCTGGCCTGTTTACATTCTTCAGAGAGCCTCGTTGAATTTCCCTAGAGAGTGCGCAGGTAGCGAGGTTCGCTCATCAATTGCATTGTGTCCAGCTCGCCATGCGTATCAAATTCCGCGTCCATAAGATTGCAAGCCCCCTGGGTAGACCGTTTGTTCACGTCACCCCCGCACTAGAAAGGAGGTGCCCCTGCTTCAGAACACCTTCGTGGAAGCTCCGGATTCCTTTCTCGCTCCAAGCTCGCGATTGGCAGAGACAGGGTGTGAGGCACTTCCATTGCTCGTCGTAGCTTCTGGAGAATACATATACCGCAGGTTAGAGGGACCCCGATATTGCTTTTTGCAGCTCCGGGGAGAGCTAGTTTGTTTGCGATCATCCTGATCACTCCACTCACCCACTGCCGCTTCTGCTCTCGACATGACCAATCATCACTACTGGTACTCCTTTACCCATTCCACGATCTTTGCTTCCTCACCTCCAACCCACCTTCAGGAGGGGAGGGTTGAACAGCGTGATCCTAATTACAATCGATCCCTCCCCGCCAACTATCTTCGCACTTGCCCCTCGCATACCCACGACTAGTCCTACCATCCAGCCAGTCACTACCCTCTGATCTCCACTGGTGCCAAAACAGTAGGACGATGCCCTCTACGCTTGGGTCTTGAGGGGTGCTACATTTACCTATACTACTCTTATATGGCTAGCATGTGCGTCGCTTACTCGCGCGCGCGCACGCATCCGGATCGAAGGATTTGTACAATCCATCGCTGTTAGTGCTTTGTCCTAAGGGTCCATCCTTCGACTGTTTTACATCCGTATACTCCGTGCGTCTTGATTTATCGAGCGCGACATTTCTATCCTGTTGATTACGTTTATTCGTTCGTGTGCATCTGGATTGGAATTAACCCGTCGCGTTTGCCTTGGATTGCATCGCCTCCATCTCCTGTCATGCATATCATCTTTTGTGCGGCGACAATGGAGTAGGGATAGCCAATGACCAATAGGCGTGCTGTTTCTCCCACCCCACCATCCACCCCCCCCACTCCTGGGTCTTTGGGCCCACCATAAACATCCCGGGATTCTCAGTATGCGGATTAAGGAGCTAGGGCTTGCTTCTCTATGCTCAGATGGAAAGGGAAAAGGGGCGCTGGATGTTAGGGGATGGGTCCGATTTGCTACGCTGTACCATTTGACTCTTATATACCTTAAGTCGCACCCAGGTCTGACCCGTACGCGTCATGTTGTACCACGCAGGCACTTAGGTTCCTTAAGCTGACAGTAATGACCTGTGTGTACTGCACTGCGTCAAGCTGAACAATACAGGAAGTTACGGAAATGCCCTGTATGCCATGTCCCTGTCGTCTTCGTTTCTCCAAGCTCCCCATTTGTGAGGCCACTCTTTTTTTCTTCCTACACAGCGTCGCAACACCGTTGAGTGTCGTCAGCAGTCAGCAGCAGAACGGCATCATGGTGGCTTGCTCTAATGATTGGAGGAAATTGCCCGTGTGTATGGGGTCCCTGTCAGATCGGCACGGCCCAGGACCACTCCGCCACTTTAGCTTCGTCCGACTTCGTCTCGCCTTCTGCGATCCGCACACACCCCGAGCTGGAATGTCCAAGTGATTTAGTGCCGCCCCCCCACCAAACCTGATGTGGTAACCACATCACGAATTGTATTTGTGCCACATGAAGTGTCACGCTGTGCCGTCACTGCGAAATCATTAAGCAATCCAGAACTTATAATGTGTCGCTAGTGACAACGCATCGGAAAGTCCGACCAGCCGCACTTCTGGCAGCTAAGCTGACGGCGTGTTCTTTCGCCAAGGTTTTGCACCGCTGATGGTGTATTCCTTCGCAGAGGCTTTATCGCCGCTGATACCATGCATGCAGCAAGGCATAGATTGGATTAACGGCAGACAGCGCACTCTGGGTTCAAATTGTGCCACTGCGGGCATCATAGGAAGTAGGTGATGGATATCGGGGCTTGCCAACACACTCAATTACTGCGTGACGGTCCGGCGGTGCAATCTCCGGAAGTACACTTCAAGTCCTTCACGTTAATGCAATCATTTCTCCGGCTGTGACCTTTGCAATATTGGCGCCACACATCAACCTTGAGCTGCGGTAGTAACTGCATCAGTGCTGCTCAAAGGCTATAAGAACTAGAAGACAGTAGTGGGTGATGGCTCAACGAAAACAGCACCACAATGTTTCTGGCTTTTCCGCCAATCAGCCTCTTCACGACCCTTCTTGCCTTGGCCCTTCCGATTGCGGCCCGTCCTAACAATCTCATCTTAAGGTCAAGGAGTCGAGCCCTCCCTCTGCGTGGCTTTACTAAACGTCTAGCCAAACCTGGCCTTGTCCGCAGGGATAGTATTACCCCTCAGCTTGCATGGGCTGGTGCGATTCTCAATGATGTAAGCACCGTGCTCAAGTACCCACTTGCGCACAGCTGGGATCTCACCATTCAACCGTGCACTCATTCGCACTTGTAGACTAGCTATGACTATGTCACCTCAACTTTTGTCATTCCAACAATCCGTTCAACCGATCCCACTGGGGAGCAGAGTATTACTGCAGCAGTTGGCCTTCACTGCGAAAATGCCGCCTTGACGCTTGTCAGCTTGTCAATCAGTCCCAACGGGGCCGTTAATGTCATTGGTAACTACCCATTGAAGCTGGGTCGTGTGCAGCGTTTTGATTATTGATGGATCGCCGTTGTCATACACAGGGGCGGATTATCTGGATATACTCACTATCCAAAACATAACTTTTAGCACCGGTGACATAGCCAGGATATCTATAGAAGCGTTGCGCAACCACACGTTCGCCACAACTATTGAGAATTTGAATACGGAAGACAAGTCGGAAGGACTGGTCACCACCGTCGAAAATCCTATCTGTGATAGATATGCTGCCATATGGGCTATCGGAGGGTTCCAGGCTGGAAACTCCGAATCTTTCGCAAACTTCAGCACTGTTACTTTCTTCAACGCCTCGGCTCGTCTCGATTCCGGAGAATGGGTTGGTCCGCAGGAAGCGACCACTCGCGAAATAACCACAGCCAGCGGGATACCTCTCACTTCCACTACCGTCTCCTCTTCCAGTGTGACCATTTTGTACCTTGGAGAACAACCGGCACAGGAACCCAGCACAACGCCGTGTCCCTGGGAGCCGCCTCACGAATCCAGTGTCCCACCCGCCTCCCACACGGTAAGGCTACATGGGCTCCCCATCTTGCCCATCCCAGGTGTGGCAGAGCTAGAGAGTCCCCCCGTCACACGTGGCCCCGGAGGTCCTGGAGGTCCTGGAGGTCCTGGAGGCCCCGGAGGTCCCGAAGGCCCTGAATGCCCTGAACATCCCAAACGCCCCAATCCATTCGGTCCTGGTCCCGTCTTCCCATCTGGAGCCCCCACTCCATCTGGTCTCCGAGCAACAAAACCGCCGTGCCCTCCCATGTGTACGCCAAACCCCATCCCGGACACTGAACATGTCGGGTGCCACAACCCGGATACGAAGAGACATCCCATGGATATGACGTGCCCATCGGATTAGTGATTACTCCCAGACAACGCACATGATGTGCGTAACTCAAGAGAACATTGCAGAGGGCTTAGGGAGAGCGTTTCGACTTGGGGCAAAGTTTGAATAGTTGATAGTTCATTCTAGAATCATCGCGGTGGCGTGAAGCGCCGCGTGGGCGAAATATGTATATAG